CTATATGTAGATATTTACCCCATCTTTGACAGCTGACCTTTTTTTGTGCAGCCTGAAGGCAGTAAACACTTCAGTCTTCTCTATTATTCAGTAGGGGACCAATGTTTTTTCTGGTCTTCCTTTTATTTCTAATGTGTTTATAGAATGCTTTTTGTTCCCATTTGGGTCCCTTGCTAACTGTGTCTCAGTTTGTGCCTCAGCCTTACTGATTTTTGTCCTTATGCTCATACTATAGTCTTATACTCATCCTAAGTAACAGTGCTTGAACATTCAGGGTACACTGGGCGACAGCGACCATGAGCTAATCAGATTCACTGTCCACTGCAAGGCTGACAAATCAGCTATCAGGATTGAAGTCCTGGGCTTCAAAAATGCTGACTTCAACAGGCTCAGGGCATTAGTAGGGGAGGCAATGCAGGACCAGGGATGGAAGGCGAATGGGGTGCATGAAGAGTGGTTGTTTCTCAAGGACACAATCCATGAAGCACAAAAGAAAACCATTCCCATGAAGAGGAAAGGTAGCAGAAGGGCTGGCAAAAAGAGGTGTACACACAGTGGAAGCTAGAGACAGTCCTCAAGGAGGACTATACAACAGTGGTCTGCACTCATAGGGAAATGATTAGGAAAGCTAAGGCGGTGGCAGAGTTTAAGTTAGCCAAGGGAGTCAAGAACAATAAGAAGTCCTTCTTTAGGTATGTAGGGAGCAGAAGGAAAACAAATGAAAGCATGAGGCCCCTGATTAACACCTGGTAATGGACACTAAGGAAAAAGCTGAACTCCTGAATGCCCACTTTGTTTCGGTATTTCACCAGATCAAGGGGAATGACAAGTGAGATAAAGATCATATGGAGCATGGTGGGAATGATAGCCTTCCCACTGTGGATGCTAAGATGGTGCAAACCAACTAGAAAAGCTAGACATTTATAAGTCAGCAGCACCAGATGGACTTCACCTGAGAGTGCTGATGGAGCTGGCTGGGGTCATTGCGGAACCCCTAGCAAAACTCTTTCAGAAATCATGGCACACAGGGCAGACCCCTGAGGATTGGAAGAGGGCCACCATTGTGCCCATCTTCAAGAAGGGGAAGAGGGAAGACCTGGGCAATTATAGGCCTATCAGCCTAACCTCCATCCCAGAGAAAATCCTGGAAAAACTCATTAAAGGATCTATGTGAGAGATGCTCATTGAGGGTAAGATTCTGAATGACAGCCAGCATGGCTTTGTCACGGGTAGGTCTTGTCTTACCAATCTCCTCTCCTTCTACGAACAGGTCTCTCACCACCTGGACACAGGAGAGAAGGTTGACATTATATATCTAGACTTCCAAAAGGCTTTTGATCCAGTATCCCACAATATCCTTGTGGAAAAATTGGAAGATTG